TAGATTAATTAAATTAAAGACTTTTTGACCATCTTGACTTTGGCATGTTTCTAAAAAGCGGACTTCCGCGTGATGGTAAAATTGCTCTTAACATAGACGTTATAGTCACGAGTTCAAATCAGAAAAATAATCACTTCTCATAGGAAATGAAATTGTTACTGTCTAAATTTTCTCGAGCACCGAGCTCTCTTTTCAAAAAATACTATTTGTATTTAATTTGAAACTTAATCTAGAAACCTAATTAAGTATAGTTGTTGGATTAAAAATAAGCTCTATTTAATATCAATACTCACAACTAAACTAATTGTTATATTAAATTAAATACCTAAATTAGGTTGTTATAACCCTACTCTAACATTTTATTTAAATTTTTAATATTGAGATTTTCAATTTGAGCATGCGGGTATAATAGGGGTGGCTGCCCTAAAATTCCTACCAAATCGTCTATATTGTAAGTAGCAGCTACAAGAATCGACCGAAAGGATGGTCATATGCATGTTCCTTCACATTTGTTTTTTTAAGTTCAACGATTAAGAAGTTTATGTCAATTTATGCACATCTCGATTAATCTCTCGTGCAATAATATGCATGTTCTCTCATTATTGAATCAAAATAATATTGCTTAGTGAACACAACTCACCAAAACCAACTTAATATAAAAAGCAAGAGGTCTTATTATATCCACATAGTATGAACCATATTCGACTTAATTTGTACTGTCCAAAGCAAGAGGTTTTGATTGTTTAAATGTGCATAATCTCACACTTGGTAGTTGAGAGGTATATAACCATTTCTCCAAAGATTAGACTCTTTTAGAGGTAATGAGTAGATTTGGGTTTTCTGACTTCCTCAATTATACTATAATTTTTATGCAGGAAATGACATGTTTGTCCCTCTGTATGTTCCTCAAAAAATAAATGAATAAAAAAGAAAGATAGATGTACGTGCTCAACCATTTTGTCCGCACACATATTAGTGTCCCTGTGTACTTGGTGGATACTCCTGTCCTTCATTTGGTTCATATGTCCATGGTACCACCCATACCATGCATCAATAGATAATGATACGATTTAATTGAGCCATATTTGATTTAGTATCTTCCATTAAGGTACAATTTTACAATCTATGTAAATGATGAGTTTTGCAATATTCCGCCAAGTGGTCAGTAACGTTTTCAAGTTAACTCTAAATTGTCTGAGTTATTATCATTGAATCGATGATATAAATCTGTGATGCCGCTACATTAGTCGAATTTGTTGTCATGTTCAATTTTTTCTACCCAAAGCTTATGTGTATTGCATGATGTCCTTGCAAGCAGATGCAATTAACACGTCTCGGTGTCCACCAAGTCAATGAAATTTGAACTATGCATCTGTCACTCAATAGTTCACTTTAGTCTATTTAGTAAAGAGAAAAAAAGGGTGGATGAAAAATAAAAAATGAAAAATGGGATGGATAAAAAAAGTTTTCAGTGTTTAGTATGGAAAAAAAATAGGAAGGAGAGAAAATGAGATAGCACGGATGAACGTTTGGGCATGAACATTAACTTCTACTATTTTAACCCATATTTCATATTTATCTATATTATTATTATTTCTAAAAAGTATCTTACAAGGAAAAACTTTTATTTTCTTCTTCTATCCTTAAACAATTATATAAAGACAATCATATTCTATTTTTTAATTTAATTCTTAGACCATTCCTATTCTAGGTATAAATATTCAATTACAAGTGCAATGAATAAATTTAAATCAATACATCATTCTTTTAATTACAATTAACAAAATTAAGTTACACACACACACACACACACACACTTAGTCTATTTTATTCATTTTGCAATTTTTGTACATATTTTATAAAAGCAATTGGATTCATTGGTACACCTAATAAATTTATTTTTGCCTTTCAATTTTCTCTTTCAGATGCCGAGTTTTCAAGTATTTCATGAAAGCTATTAGATGCATTAATTAATCTAATGCCATTATTTTTGGTTTTTGGTTATCTCCTTAAAAAATGTCCCATGTATATACCTCTTTCTCTCTCTCTCTCTCTCTCTCTCGTAACCGTAGGAGTCTCATATTAATATTTTGTTGCTCTTACTGGTTTTGAGGTAGGATATTTTTAAATGTACTCTTTCCACTGTTAGGAATTGAACATGACTTCACTTTTGCTTCAACAAGTTTTCTAATATGAAGTTTGGCTATTACAGGTGACATATTGCCCTTCTTTTTGGTTCTTTCAAATATGGTACGAGTGAATACAATGTTTGCAACACCTCTCAAGTAATACCATGTTATAAATTATAACATGGTCTTCTTCCCAATTTTTGTCTTATAAATTTGGCTCTTTTGGATTCATTCTCATTATACAAAATGTTGAGTTCAATTTTTCTAATGCATTCATCCAAATGTTAACTATGACCAAAGTAATCATTTCCATTATACTATTGTTATATGCTTCAAACAACAAACATGATATGCTAACGGATACCGTGGTGTTAGAGAGTCATTTTTTTCTTTTTTGTCTGACAGACATTATTGTCTTAGATGCGGAACCAAATGACATGATAGCAATTGACCCACTTCTTTTGGTAAATTAAATCATTTGTTTTAAAATTTTGAATCTTACAATATCAAAAAAAATTTAATAATGAAATGGTGCGGTCTAAGACTGCATGGAGGAAGAAACAAATTTCTTTGCCCTTGGAAAAAATGTGAGGTTTTTTAAGTTTTAATGTGTTTTTTTAGGTTTATTAACATTATTTTTGTTTTTGCAAGAAATAAAGCAAAGTTTGGTACAAAATGCTGCCTACCACTGAAATTAAATTCAAAAGTGAATTCTTTCTATTCATATGTTATTATATCATATGTTAATTCATCATTACGAATAAAACGTCCTAGAGAGTTTCATGTTTAAACAAATAAAATTTTATTATTTCTCCTTGTTAGCCAAAAGGAGAGAAGACAGAGAATTATTGAACAATATAGCATTTAAAGCTTTTCATTTTTAAGAAGAATCCAAAACTCAAATGGATTTTTGTCTTATACTGTGAGGTACAAGAAACTAACGCTTCAATCTTTGCATTCCTTAGTGATAATGTGTGTATCTAAGCAAAAAAGTCCTTCCCAAATTTACTCATGAAATGACCAAAGTAAGTTTTTTTTTTTTTGGAATTTGCTTATCAAAAGAGATTATCGGTTGGTTGATAGTCAATATTCACTAAAAACATGAATTTCAGAGAAAGTAATTTATTAAAAATATGAATTTCAAAAGACAATAATTTATTAAAAATATGATTTTTAAAGAAACTAATCCACAACATTAATTTACAATAGTTTATTCATAGTGATTCACGTTCAACATGTGTACTAACTAATACTATAAAATGGGCCCAACCTTCAAGAAAGCAAGAAATAACATGGCATTGGCATGTGCTGTCCAGGTTGGCTCCAGACTTCTACCACCGCCAAGCTTGAACTTGTGCCAATATTTACATAACATACACCCTTGAACGTTTCAATCCTAATTCAGCCCGATATATAAAATATTTAGACAAAATTTTCAATATTCAAATTGGGTTTGGACATGAAATTTCAAGTAAGTTACTATATAATGATTACATAATTTCAAACATCAGCCCGGCAAATGTCGGGTACGTGAACCGCACATCAAGTTATTTTTCTTATTGTATGCAGCGGATGTGATGTTATAGTAAGACTGAAGTATAACAACCATGTCGGTTTAAGTTTATCTATGCATCAATCGATTCCTATTATGTAATTTTTTTTTGTCATGTAATGTTTAGTTTATCTTGTGCTTGTGATATTTGATCCCAACTTTAATAAAACCAAATAAAAAAGTATTTTGTAATACAATGATTAAATAGAGTTTTTTCTCATACCCAATAGATTAAATAGAGTTTTATTTTTGCTGAGTTCAATTGGGTGTGCAACGATGGATATAAAAAATTATTGCACTCCAGGTGATAATATGAATGATTTGTAAATCTAGACATCTAAAGTTCGTATTTTAATAACCTCTTCGGAATAGATCATAAGAGATTTGTCCGTCATAAATTCTTTAATCCTGATACTTTTGATTGAATTAAGGAAGAAATTAATCAAATTGTACATAAACTAACTCAAACACCTTTAATCGTTCAACGAAACAAAAAATTTTTATAGCAGCTAGCCATACATGCCTTTAGGTAAAGAAATGTAAACACTCTGCCTTTTCTTATGATACTATCGCATCAAATCATGCTCTCACGGTGTCTTCCGCATGTAACTACTACTCTATAAGTGCTGCGAGCATTAATTTAATTGGTTTCGATTTCGGTGCTCTAATTTTGTCAAGTGGTGCAATAATTAGGTATCATATCCTTAAAGAAAAGGTAAGCTTCCCAATAGTTTTACAGTGCTTCTAATTATACTTTATTTAGGAATGTAATGTTGGATATAGTCCATTTTTAGTAGGCACAATTTAATGCTGAGGCTCACACTAATTTAATTATAACAAATTAATTTAATATTAGTTGTGAATTTGAAAATTGGATGGAGCATTCTTTCAATCCAAATTAATTAGCCTTTAAACTAGGTCTTCAAATTATGTCAAAATAACATTTTTCTTATTAAATTTTTTTTTTTTTTTTTTGACATAGCGGTAAGGTTGCTCCTCCTAACATGAACTTCACAATCACAAGTTCAAATTATAAAAATAATATGTGAAGTGAAAAATTCGAGCACCAAGTTATCTTTTATCATTTAAATTTGTAATATTGAGGCTTCCAATTCAAACACGTGTGGATACTAGGGGTGGCTGCCCTAAAATCCCTACCTAACCGTCCAGAATATTGTAATTAGCAGGTATAAGAATGGAGAGAAAGGATGGTCAAATGCATGTTCCACTCCCTGACAATTAAATCAAAAAAAAAAATAATAATGATACAGCTCATCAAAACTTAAATATAAAGCAAGCGGGTGCGGTGGGTCTTATTATATCCATATAGTATGGACCATATTGGCCACTACACAGTTCAACTTAAGTTGTATATTCCAAAGCAGCCACCATCACTTGGAGCATATATAATTCCACCCCTACACCCATTTTCAACATCCATTGCTGCTTAGAGAAGAACGATTAGTGTTTTTGATAGTGTTATCACAAAAATGCCTCTCCTCAAAACCATTCACATGGCTTATCCATATTATTCTCCACCCCCACCATCACCACCTCCTCCTCCTCCTCCATGTAACCCACCACCACCACCACCACCACCTCCATGTAACCCACCTCCACCTCCACCCAAATCAAAACCACCACATCACTTGTCGCCACCGCCACCGCCACCGTCACCGTCACCGCCACCGCCACCACCTCCTCCTCCTCCTAAAGGTCCAGTGGCGCCATCACCGACGCCAACACCTCCTGGTGGTTCAGGCATGCCACCTACTGCACAACCACCTCATTATTTACCACCACCAACGCCTGGTGGCCCTAACGTGCCACCTCACACACCTAGTGCGCCACCAACCTCGCCACCAACGCCTGGTGGCCCTAACGTGCCACCTCACACACCTAGTGCACCACCAAACTCACCACCAACGCCTGGTGGCCCTAACGTGCCACCTCACACACCTAGTGCACCACCAAACTCACCACCAACGCCTGGTGGCCCTGTCGTGCCTCCACCAACTTATGGGCCACGATCACCACATGGTGTACCACCAACTGGCACCATAAGCCCGCCTTCTTTTGCACCACCCACACCATATAATTCTATTCCACCATCATCAGGTACACTGACTCCACCACCGTCGGGAGGCGGCGGCGGCAATCACACGACTGTTATCGTAGTGTGCGCCTCACTCGGTGGTCTTTTCTTCCTCGCGTTTCTTGCCGTTGGTCTCTTCTGCTTGGCAAAGAAAAAGAAGAAGCCGGTTTTGATTCCAGCAGCACCTTGTGTTGAGGAAGGTGAAGTAGCCGTAGCGACTTCATATACCGAGGAAAGCGCGGCGGTAGCAGTTTCAGATGACAGTCAAATTCATGAAGTTGGAGGTATAGGTGGTGGTGGCGGCCACGGCGGCGGATATGGACCAGGTGTGGCTGGGCCTGGGCCTAGCCATCAGCAGTATGGCTAGATACACCATAGCCTGCACAATCAAAAGTTGAGCAAGTAGATTGCATAGTGTGTGCATTTGTTTATAGGTACTTCTAGCTGCAGCCACCACCACCCCCACTCCCACCCCACCAAGCCCCAAAACCCGGGCCCCGTCACACCACACACACACACACACACAGAGACACGTCATTGGGGATTTTTATGTTTTTCTTTGATGAAGATGGACTTTTGTGATTGCTTGGTTGAATTGTATTCATTCATGTGTAATGGAAGTAGATTGAAGTGATTGTATTGATTGCGTGAATAAAAGAAAAATATATTTTTTTTATCTCTCTTCTTATAAAAGGATAATATCTAAATACTAATACTATTTGGACATAATTTCGGGAAGAGCAATGTTATTTGAACCTAAAAATTTGACATAATTCACTATTATCTTTTAATTTACTGTGGACACCATAAAATATTAAAAATTGCTCTTGATCCAATAATTTTAATAAAATCATATCATTACATCAACCAATTAAGTCAAATTTTTAAATCTAAATAACATTACTTTTAGATAATTAATGTATTATAACTATTGAATTAATAATGATACGCATTTAATGTTGAAATTCACATATAATCTAATAATCATAATTAAGTCATTAAATTATTTCTCAATTAGATAGTAATCAAAATGATCGCATAAATATGACAGCATTGTGACGTAGTTTTCATTTATTTGGACTTAAAGCTAAAAGAGACTTACTGTAGTTGATAAGAGCATATTGACTTTCACAAGATTAACGGATGGACAAAGAAAATGAACTATACTTAGTGCGTTTGGTAATGGCAATAGCAAGACAGCTAATGACTTGATGCTAACCTAATACTTTCCTCTAATTATATGTTGAATGACAATGATGATTTCAATAAAAAATCCGACAATTACATTTAGAATAATGTCAATGTAGCAGGTCTCGTGACAAAACATTCGGCGTCAGATTATGGGAGGTCCCTAGTGATAGCCCTTGTTTTTTCAACCGTGAGGATATTCGGGTTAGTTTTGATGATATCAAGTGTTAGTTCAGGAGTTCAGTTCAAATTAGAGTGTCAGACATATTAATTGAGGTCAAAAGGCAAGGATTGAATGTTTATTGAGGCAAGACAACGGTTGAATAACCACGAGAGGTTCTTAAAGCGTTAGGAAGCTATAATCAAGGCACCTAATCTCAACTAACCAAGATCTTCTCCAAAAATTAAGAAAAACTCCACAAAGTAAAGGCAAGAATCTCGACAAAGATCCCATTGAATAGGGAACAGCCCTATAAATATTACATAACACCCCCAAAGAGCAGAGAGGACCCTAAAGGCAAAAAATAGTCATTGTACTCTTGTAATCATCATTTATTAAAAGGCAATGAGCAAGAATCTCCATTAAATAGTGGATTAGCCGAGCTCCCGAGCTAATAAACCACTGTACTTCTTCTGTGTTAATCCTCCCAGCCCCTAGAAAAATATTTCTTTCATTATCACATCACTATCACTGCAAAGCATAATTACGATTCATTACTCATACAATTCGGTTTACACCATCTGTTCGGGTCCCTTGTGGGAAAGGAAGTTCTGAGGTCGGTGAGGCATGCAGTAGGGATGGCGGGGCCTTCTGGAAAGAGGCAGAGGCAGAGAAAGTACCTATTTTTTGAACCTTAGCTCGAGTAACTGGGCTCCCACCAGAACTGCCCTCAGCCTTGCGCTTGGTACCACCTTTGTTTTTCTTCTTCAATAGCTCTACCTTAGCTTGGAGCATCTCAGGGATAGGCTTCATTGTAGAAGACCCTAGAAGATTTGACTTGAGCTGGTTAGTCAAAAGAAAAAAGAAATGGAAGAAAGCAATGAAATCAAATAACATAAAGAACATTACCTTCTACATCCTCAGGTCGGATAAAGGAAAGTGGGGTTGGAGGAGGACCGAATCCCTACCTTTCTAATTTTTAGGGTTTAATGAGCTCAGAGTACCTCCCTGGATTACATTTAGCCAACTTCAGCTTCATCCGCTCGTCTTCGGCGCTAAGTTCAGATTGAATGCCTAAAAACAAAAAAAGATGCAGAGGTCAAGAAAACAACTCATAAATCTTCATACTGCAGTTCAGTCAGGCAATAACTCACCTAAGTTATTTGGGATTGTCCAGGCTTTGGGAATCCCAAGAATGTCTATTTTATCAGCAAGGTTGTATTCCCAGTTGACACCCCCAACGAAAAAAAAATATTTTTTCAGCCTTTATGAGAACTTGGGAGGTGTGTGATGATCTACCTAGACGAGGTCCGCCTAGAAACATATAGAAAGCCCTCAGTTGAGATAAGCTTGACATTGAAAAGGTCCATAAGTAGAGAAATGGTGGGAGTCTCAAGCCCATGTTTCTTAAAGAAAACTAAAACACCCACTAAAACACCCTAGAAGTTGGGAGAAAGCTGAGCAGGACAGACATTGAGGTGCTGCAGAACATTTTTGATGAAGGGGTGCATAGGGAAACGAAGGTCATTCTCGAAACAGCCACAAAAAAATAAACTCTTTTGTGCACTTGGGCAACGTATGAAGTGAGTTTATCCGGACATCAGGGAGAAAGCCAAAACGAGCACTAAGAGCTTCCATGAGAATATGATCCACCCCACTGGAACCCACGAGCTTAGCATGCCTGAAGGCAACCCCTATACCCGCTGTACTATTAGGAATTTCAACATCACTCACCTTGCCCTTACCCTTGTCAGCACTAGGAGGTACATGAGAGGAAGATGAGGGGAGTTCCTTGGAGTCCACCTTAGTATCGACAGCCTCAACACCGGAGAAGTTGTTAATCTTATCACCTATATCCCCTAAATCAGAATCCCTCTTGGTAGACTTGTCACTTAGGAGAGAAACGGAGGAGAGAGTTGCTCCAGAGGAGGCAAACATGATTGGCAAAGAGAAAGGCAAGTCGAAAGAATTATAAAAAGGAGGAATACTAACTAAACACCCCCTGATAATCCTAGGGTCAGCACTGTACCTCCCAACAGTAAGAATTCGTATAGTGGAGTTCCAATCCACAAAGCGAAGAAGAAGAGATAGGCAACGATCGTGATTCCAAAAGAAAAAGAACCAAAAAATCCAGAAAAATAATGGCCACCTCGAAGTCGAGGGATCCAAAGTGAGGAAAGGCAAGAGAAAGAGAAAGGGGTAGAAGGAAGCGTACCTAAACAGGAAAGAGAGCAACAAACAACAGCCAAAAAATAAAATTGGAGGAGAAGAACAAAGTAGGACTTCGAGTCGAACCCAAAAAGCATAGTTTTGAGCAGAGAATAAGAGAATCGCGTGGAGGAAAGCCCAGAAATCGCAGAGAGAAAGAGTCGAAGACGAAGGTGAACAACGTAGAAGATGAACGGTGGTTCTGTACAGTTTTTGATAATCGTTTGAGCATTTAAGACTTGAAAAACATGGAATGAAGCGTGCGCAGAAATCAAGGGAGTCATGATTGTTGTAACCGTCGAAAAGCCCCTCTCACGTGCATCCCACACGCAAACTAAGGTTAGCTAGGTGCAGGTCTGGTCCAAGGTAAAAGCAGCTCAGCCCATGCCCAAGTTCGCTTAGGCTAAGGGTTGGGAGGCAATTGATGATACCTAAAATAAATTTCAAGTGTTAGCTCAGGAGTTCAACTCAGACCGGGAGGTCAGACATATTAATTGAGGTCAGAAGATAAGGGTTGAATGTCTTTTGAGGCAAGACAACAACTGAATAACCACGAGAGGTTCCTAAAACGTTAGAAAGCTATAATCAATGCATCTAATTTCAACCAACCAAGATCTTCTCCTAGAATTAAGGAGAACCCACGAAATAAAGATAAGAATCTCGGCTAAGATCTCATTGAATAGGAAACAACCCTAAAAATACCACGTAACGCCCCCAAAGAGCAGAGAGGACTCTAAAGGCAAAATAGTCATTGTACTCTTGTAATCATCATTTATTAAAAGGCGAAGAACAAAAGTCTCTATTAAAAAGTGGATTAGCCGAGCTCCTGAGTTGATAAACTACTATACTTCTTCTATGTTAATCCTCTCAACCCCTAGAAAAATATTTTTTTCATTATCACATCACTATCACTGCAAAGTATAATTACGATTCATTAGTCATACAATTCGACTTACACCATCAGTTTTACACGTATTTCAATTAATTTATTTTTGTTTGGTCAAAGACAAATCATTCATGTAGAGATTAAGGTATTCACGAGAGGTAGCACCAAAAGATTGATAAGATTCAAACTCAAAATGTTTAAATTTATAAATCATTTTTGTTAGCATTTGAAGTATTCGGGACCGAGTTTAGTATTAGCCATATCATGAAATGTATTGTTTTGCTTGAAGCATATACCCATTCTTATTTTGGGTCTTTCAATTTCTAAAATTTTCAAATTAATTTATGAATGATCCAATCTCTAACGTTCATCTAAAAATAATTTTTTGATTATTTGGATTGAAAAATAAAATAGTTATTTAGAAATAAAAAGAAAAATTAAGAAATGAAATAATAGAATTTTTGAGTGATCAATGTATTATATTATTTTTTTATTGATATATATATATATTAGTGGGTTAGTGGTCATCTAAATCTTAGTTATTGGGTCTTGGATAAATTTTAAAAAACACTTACGATTCAAACACTCCTCCGGTCCCCCATGCTTCCCAATAATTTCCTGCGTGGATTGGCGGGTGTTGGTTGACTAGGGCTAGTTGTCCCGAATTTCATTTCCACTTATTCTTCCATTCCTTTTTTCGCACCAAACAAACCATGACGTCAATTATAAATTAAGCACTAATGTCACAAAACTGTAGATTATGATGCTAAATAAGCAGACACATAACTCAGAAATTGTTGTGATAATAGAAACGAGTTATAAATTCAGACGTCTTAAGTTTGAATCTTGATAATTTTTTAAAATCAAACTATGAGCGATTTATCTTTCATAAATACCTTAATTTTGACGTGAATAACCTTTGGCCGAATCGAAGAAAAAATTAGACAATATATAAATAAGTTAGTTCGAAAACCCTGACCGTTCAATTATGAAAAAGAAAAGAAACCTTTATACTAAAGTTCTTGAAATTGGATGGAGAGGCTAGTCCACACAATTGTATACTTTAAAGTGCAGTTTTCGAATCTTCCCCCTTTCTTGTATTGTTACGACCCAAAAAAAAAAATGTGGTTGAAATTGAGGCATGCGTTATTTTTAATAAAGGAAAATGTTTTTTAGACTTATTTTGGATAGATAATTATTTACGAGTGTTGGATTAAAAATGAATTATATTTAACATTGAAATTTCATAATAAATTCAATAACTATATTGAATTAAGTTCCAAAAAATCTATCCACCGTAAAAAAAAAAAAAAAGGCAATGTGGGCTAAGACTGATCATAGCAACGTTTTGCTCCATCTGATAGGACATGATTGAAGATCAGAAAGCAGGATAAACAAAATAAAGATGTTTTCGATTTCTTTTTTTTTATTATATTTTTTTGTTTGCTTCGTGCCTTTTTTTTTTTTCTTTTGAGTGAAAGATACTCCAACTCATTTTGAACATAAAGATTTGTCCAAGTCAAACAAATCTTATCCTATTTCAATAGTATACGTTGCATTTTGAATTTCAGAAAAATTGATTGTAATGATTTGGACAAATCGGAGGAGCCTAACCCGAGTCACTTCAGGAGCATGGTCCTACCCCGGTTGGAGTTTAGCTCCACGGAGGTCACTGGTTCAACTCTCTTTGTGCCCCTCACATGTATCAATGTGTCCAAAAAAACCCGGGTCAGTTCTGCAATTAGTAGTAATGGGTCACAGTCTGATGGCGAACAAAGCCAGACTTGAAAGGATTAGTGGAGGAGGTCAGCTTTGGAGTCCAGATGATGCAAAGGACATGAAACTTCGGAGTAGTTTCTGGCACATGAAACATGTGTCCGAAGAAAGTCACCAGGCTACATGCAATTTATGTCCTATTGCAAGGTACAGTACATATAAAACTCCGATAATTTCAAGGTCTATGGCTCGAAATGTTGGGTACATGAGCCTTCATTAAATTGATATTTTATACGTTGAAGGATTAACTAACACTTGTACAGAAAGCAAAGCATATTAAGTGGTTGTGATGTTTCTGGTGATAGGGATGGAATATTTGTTTTTTTTATTGGAGCACAACCACCCCACCGGCTTGACTCATGGTTGAGTTGTGATTCGATTAAATTAGGTCATTTCATCTTTGGAATTTTGTTACCTTGGATTCGTGATGCATTTATATATATATATATATATATATATATATGCCTGAATATACAGTACAATTCAAAAAATAATCTAATATTGATTGTGGATTCGAAATAATCATTGAGTGAAAATAACCTCAATTAGCTGAAAATCTAAATTGCACCCTCGACGCATCACACTTTGCATAAATTCTCAGTAAAGTATTACCAATATAAAGATTCTCTAATAATCAAAATGTCATAAATTTAAACTGAAAAAGTATAAAATTTATATATGTGAAACTTCATACCTAATTAGAACTAACAATAGAACTCAAAAATGTTTATTCAAAAATCAACTTACGGGGCCAATAAAATAAATCTTTGTGTCAGAAAGTACTCTGTTAGGTTGAATAAAAAAATAATCAATATTTAATCAAATATTTTTTTTACTTTTAAAAAATTTGGATAGAATTTTTGCTAAAAATAGGACCCCAAAAAAATATCAGCTTATAATGCTAATTACACAATCTAAAGACGACATAAAAGCTTAGTATCAACCAATAATACAAAGAAACCAACCAAATTCAACCACTAAAAAAATTAATTCCAAATTGAAACAAAAATGTTCATTAGTAAGAAAACATAACAAAAGAAAGGCAAAATAACTGAATGCGACAATACCCAATTTTTCAACACAAAACAGATATGATCAAGCATGTTAGCTACCTACTAATAAAAATAAAAAATATAAAATAAAATAAAAAGATTAACTAAACAACTTGCTTGTAAGCAATCATAAAATTATTAGTACCTAAATATCTCAAACACATGAAATTAAAAAGAGGATTAACTAAATAACTTGCTTGTAAGCAATCCTCTTTCTAATTTTATAAAAATATATAAAATTAAAAAGATGATTAACTAAACAACTTGCTTGCAAGCAATCATAAAATTATTAGTACCTAAATATCTCAAACACATGAAAAAACTTCCGGCCAAAACAATCTCAAACATCAACATTAAGATATTATATTTTATTAACTATGCAAGCTAAGGAAAAGAAAAAGAGAATACTTATAAAAAAAAAAAAAATCAACATTCGTAGATTGTCCCAATTATCGGGAATTGAAAGTAAAAATTGAACTACAACAATTGTTAAAAATGGTAATGAAGCAAAAAGAGCTCACAATAATTTTATATTTGTGACCTAAGTCCCATGATTGATGGACTTTCGATTATAAACTTCTCTTGAGCAATTGTAATGTAAATCACGTAAAGTAAAAGAGAGCGAAAAAGCGTAAAATTTTAAAAAATTCTAAGAGCGGAAGTGTCTTGAGAGCTTCATATAATATACATATAAAAACTAATAAAAAAATATAATTAAAAAACTAAGGTTTATGTACAATATATGATAAACGATTTAAATTTATTTAAATCAAAAAAAATTTCTTGTTGATGGGATAAAAATCGAAAAGTATGAGATGGAGAGTTAGATGAGCTCTTGGTGAGTGTGTATGTAAAAATAAATGAGAATACACAAGAAAATAAGTGGTTTATCGGCTAAAATGTTTGGCTAATCCACTCTAATGGAAGCTCTTAATCCTTGATCGTATATTATTTTTTTGAAAAAAAAGAGTATCATAGGGTTTTTTGTTTACTTAAGGCCCGTTATTACATAGTGATCATTGTCTTTTATAACAGAATATTAGAGAAACATTTAAGAAATATTTAGAAAATATTTGGTGTGACTTATTCTCTAAGGTATAATTTGATGGAGAAAATCATTTTCTACCCGTTCTGATAGTTTTTATATTACTTATTGTATTCTACAATTTCATTGTCTATTGTATATTTTTCGATATTAACACTTGTTAAAAAAATAAAATCAAAAAATTTTCAAAGACAAAAACGTCCAAAGGCATTTTTATGCATGGCAGTTAATCCCTTCGGATAACCAAGAAAACTTACCATCAGTCCTTGCCTATAAATATTAAATAGGGGTGAATGCTGTCCGTCTCGGCATGTGCACGTGAGTAATCTAAGTATAGAATAAAATTGAATGAAAGGAGAATGAAAATTGCCCAATCCCATTCCCATTCTGAAATTATGGCAATGGCATCAACCTTAAAACATGAATGGAACAAATTTTTTTTTTTTTTTTTCCGTTTCTGCTTCGGTCGACTTCATACACTTGTTTGGTAGCCTTCAAGCTCGAATTTTCGGTTTAATACTCATTGATTTAAATTACTTAGATTGGATGATTACTTACTATTACTTGTTGTCTGACCGCAATCTAATAGTGATGGAATTGTAATTAATTACTTTGAGAATATCTTCCACAAATCAAACCAACTACAATCTCAAATCGCTATACAAAATGGCTTTGGAGAAGCAGTCAAACACACGTGGGATTGTACAACCTGAAATTTCTTAATTCTTACCGTTCGAGCAATCAGGGGTATTTCCTGCATTGCATTCCTTTTGGATTACAGCAGAAGGGCAAACTTCTCAATGATTAAGTAACTGATACTGATACTGACACTTAAAACGAAAAGTCAACTACAAAAAGCTCAACTTGTATTTAGTTTTAATGCCAGTTGATCTGAATATATTGCTATTGAGAGACTAACTAAAACAAAGATTCTCGATAATGCTTATGTTTTTAATTAATATATATTTCTATTTTTAAAGCCCGATAAACTTGTTATATGATAATTTAGGCATTGTAAGTTTGAATTATATAGTTGTTTGAATGCTTGTACGGGAAGCAATCACATGTATTCAGTACACAATTGGAACAAAAAGTATTTTTCATGGCAAGTCTATAACATGGAGAGTTTAGTCAGAACAAGTGTCTATAATAAGATGGCCTGCCCAAGTTGATCATATAGTTTAAGTAGCAGGTATAAGGGTCGACAGATAGGATGATCACATACATGTTACCTCACACAATTGAATCAAAATATATATATATACACACACACATATAGCACCCACAGCCATTTTCAACGTCCATTGGTGCAAGGTACTATTGGTGTTTTAGATAATTGTCGTAAAATGCCTCTCCTCAAAACTATTCACATGGACAATGCATATTATTCTCCACCTCCACCATCGCCGCCTCTTCTTCCTCCTCCTCCGCCACCTCCATGCTCCCCACCTCCACCTTCACCCAACTCAATACCACCACCACCACCAGCGTCAACACCTCCCGGTGGTCCAGTGGTGCCACCACCACCACCAACGTCAACTCCTCCTGGTGGTCCTAATGTGCCACCTCAAATACCTAGTGCACCACCATCACCAACTCCTCCTGGTGGTCCTAATGTGCCACCTCAAACACCTAGTGCACCACCACCACCACCAACGTCAACTCCTCCTGGTGGTCCTGTTGCGCCTCCACCACCACCAAATAATGCACAACCACCAAAATCAACTCCTCCTGGTAGTCCAGCTGTGCCACCACCACCTCCTGGTGGTTCAGTCGTGCCACCACCAACACATACTTCACCACCTCCACCATCAACTCCTCCCAACATTCCGGTCTTATCTCCACCAACTTATGGGCCACCAGCACCACCTATCGCCACCACTCCATTTGGACCACCACCACCTTCAGGCGGCGGTAGCAACCACACCACTGTCATTGCTGTATGCGTCTCACTCGGTGGTGTTTTCTTCCTCGCATTTCTTGCCATTGGTCTCTTCTGCTTGGCAAAGAAGAAGAAGAAGCCTGTTTTGTTGCTGGCAGCTGCTTCCGTGGAGGAAGAATGTGAAGAAACTGAAGTCAGCCCATATGCTGGCGAAACCGTGGCGGTAGCAGTTCCAGATGACCATCAAATCCATGAAATTGAAATTATAGGTGGTGCAGACGGTGGCGGTGGCTTGTCTGGTGGAGCCACCGGGAGCCCTCCTTGTGGACCGGATGTTCCTGGGCCTTCCACCCATAGTCCAAGCTATCAGCAATATGGCTAGATCACACACACAGATCCTTCTGATGCGGAATCTTTGTGGGCATCCATTATTGCTCTGTGATGCAAGTTGTTAAAATTGATTGTTTTTGTTGTGGGAATAAACAATTACTGAAATTAATATTGTAGTTGATCAAAGTAAATTGAATTTGATAACAATGTGGCATAGGAGAGAACGGTACCGTTTTTTCCTGAATTATGCACTCAAATCTTGTTTATGATATATAGGCTATTCACTTTAATCCCTCAACTTTCAATTCTATTACATTATTCTTAAAATTTTCTATTCAGTTTCTAAAAAATCCAACGCAATCTTCAATTTAACATATTAAAGAACAAGTATTATTATTTTATGATGAATGACACGTGGTTCTTAATCGGTAAAATTTAATTTTATTGATCGGATGTAATTTGTTAACCTAAATATCTAATTAATTATTGTCGTGGAAACGTCTCTATATCGTAAAATTAGTTGGGATTCGCTAATAAATTAATGGTTATAATGGATTAGATCGATAAATTAAATTAATAAAGTAAGTCAAATTAATATTATTAAAATTAAAATATATAGGTCTAGACTCAAGACTAATCATAGCTTACATCAGATATGAGATTGTTGACGATCATAGAACAAATAAATGTCAGAATATGATATTATTTTTTAGTAATGATATGTATCCCAAATTTGTAACCCAAATTTGCATCCCAAATCAAGAAGGACTATTGGATCAGTGAGTCTTTTTTTTAAAAATTGATGGGACCTACTGATCCAATAGTTCTCTTTGATTTGGGATGTAAATTTAGATTACAAATTTGGGATATATAGCTCTACTCATTATTTTTTACTTTTTTTATTCATGATTTTTTTGTTGGGCTTGTAACTTTTTTTTTTTTTTTTGGGTTAAATCACATCCACCTCACTTGAAGTTTGTCCAAATAAAAACTAAACCCCGGGGAGGTATGACAAATAACTCTCCCCTCTCCTCTTCTTAAATTGTCTATATGAGATGAGTAATTCCCCCTCCGTTGCTATGCCCCTTTTCCAGGTTATATACAAACTTCCTATCGAAATCTATCAGAATGAAAAAGCCAAACTTGTTGCCAAACACTACAAATCCAACCTCTTACCATAAAAACGTTGAATTTATACTCCCTGGTGGAGGAGTGTGTGGTTTAAACAGAAAACTATTAAAAGAAAAGAAAGAAAATGTTACATGTAAGATTGTCTTCCCTTTAATTTTCACCTCAATTGCCAAACTTATCATGAATTCAACCGAAACTTATTATTTTATATGTTGGCCTCTTGCTCACATGTGTTGAATGATTTGCCATCAAGTAAAATTGAATATAAGGAGGATCTGGATCCAAAACCACCTAAACCTGGCAATGCAAAAGAAAAAACCATCAATACAAGCACACGCAGGCGCTTGGTTAAAGGATGAAAAACAACTCACCCCTTACTTGTGGCTATTTTTTTACACAACGTCGATTTGACAATGACAAGACCTACTAACACGTGCAATGAACGAGATTTTTTAGTATCAGACATGAATTAATTGATTTTGAGAGAAAAAAATTGATATTGTATGAAAAAATGTGTAATGTTTCACTTTGTTTTTTTCAATTTCTTGGCTTAGTGTTGTATAAATTGTTAAGATATTAAATAATTTTTTTATCTCATTTGAACTCAAATCAAATAGATAATTAATTCACAGAGGGGCTGAAATGTAATGGTTTTGGCTAAGAAAGAGAAAGGCATCCGATTGTTAAAGAGTTTTGAATGCAGACACCATTCGTGTTGACCTAGTTATGACACGGATAGAAAATAGTCATGTTATAGAAACCTAATTTAATTTAATTATTAGATTAATTATGAGTTCAAATATTAGATGAAGTTCGTTTTCAATTCAATAAATACATGAAATTAAATTCAAATTAAGTCCAAATAATATTTTTTGTACAAAATAACCCATGTCTTACTCATCGAGGTGTTGGGCCTACTAATGGCAAGTTCAGCCTAATCAACAACTCTAATGGACCCTTCTTCCATTTAAGGATAGTTAGTTGAATCTTAGGCAAGTATTTGTTATATACTTAGATTCAATTACTTATTGTTATATGTAATTAACGCAGTATCATAAACAAGGCGAGACGGGGCACTTACTTTTAAATAAGAAAATCATAAAAATCAGAATAATTTGAGCCCTGTGATCCACAATTTTTTTCAGATAAATTTACTCATTCTCGATGTTCAAGGTTGATGAGCAATTATCTCCCAAAATAAAACAAATTTTTCACTCTTAAAAAAGCAGCACTATAATATCCAACAATCAGTGAACACAACTTGGTGCGTTGTACTTGAACCGTAGATGACATAATGCAACAGACAGTATACAAAGAGAAAGAAGTATGAAACTCAAAAGAATTGTTCCTGAACTTCGTTGTACTATGAATGGCCGTAGGGATCACCATTTTATAGACTCACTGGTGCCTATTCGGATCGACTGAACAATCATGAAACGTTTCTATTCAGATCAAAAGGAGGCAACCAATACCTGTTTAGGAAGAGATACACTATATGACAAACAGGACGATTTTTAAAATGTAACGGACATATCAAAACCCAGAAGGCGATGGCGCCTAGGAGCTTGGAGATGGGTTCCTAGACACTAAAAAGCGAAGGCAACAGACCATGAGACGAGGCAAGCCGAGCCAAGGCAAGGTTGCCAAAGCCTTGGGCCCCACTTGCCAAGGCTCCGCTGTTTGTTTCATCTATTGTTCAAATTTAATCTATTTTTGATCCAACTCTAAATTAAAAAATTTAGTCTATTATACCAATACAAATTGATAATTTTTGAGACATAATTTCTCTTTCAAATATTAATAATTTTGAACAAATAATTAAATTATAGTCCCACTTATTTCGATGTACCATTGCTTTTTTCCATCATAGTTCATGCTTCATTGTGCTCTCGTGGAAGTTGATTACTTTTCCGGTCAACAATTTGATTCGTTCGGAGAAGGTAATGTAAAGACCACCCCCCGGGACGGGGGGTGGAGTGCTATTTTCAATCCCCCTTGCCCCAAATGAAGGTATGGAAGTGAATCACAAATTCTTTGCTTTCGCCCAAATGTGTTTAATGCTGTCAAAATGACTCCATACATGATTGTGACCAGCCCCTACCCTACTTTTGAAAATTAAATTCACACCTTTTACAATACACTTTTTCTCAATAATTGACTAGTCATCCTATGTTGGCAAAACACCAATCTATATAAGAATTCCTCTTGAGTTCATTGTTACTCTATAAACTAAAGATGTTGTATAAGCAACTGACCTTAGAGTAATATATCGAACTATAGGACATGAGCGATCCACAATCATTGACAAAGGAGGAACGTTTGGAAAGGGCGACCCTTTGTTTCAGCCATTGTAGTACGTATGTCGCCCAAGACATAAAAAAACATAATGACTTGACATCATTCTCACCCATCTAGCCCAAAAAAATTTAAAGAAAATAAATGGAAGGGACCCAAATCCTGAAACACATCCTTATACAATTTTTTTTTTTGTTGATCAAAAATGGGATGGAGGTAAAAGAAATCACTTAGAGATCACTCCGATAGGCCTTCACTGGAAGGATCATCAAGCTTCTGACTGAACTCATTACTCCTCTCAGGAATAAATTTAGTTTAGCTAACATAGTGGTCAACCATCAAACTCCCATTTAAACTCTAAGAATCGAAATTTCAATCTTAAAATGATAAATTCAACCGATATTTTACTGAACCACCCACTCGGTGGTAGTCATCCTTATAGTATATATATTCGGCAAAAGTACTTAGGTTTTTACATATGACCTTGTCCCCTCAAGAATTTATTGAAACTCTAATTTGTTGTAGTCCATATTCACCGGCCAAGCCGAGGTGCAGGGCATTCTGCTTTGTTATTTTCCAATGGTTACGTACCCAAATTGAATAAGGTGACTTTAATTTTGTTGCCAGTTAATGGGTGGTCATAAGGGTGTTGAAAAGTTGCACCAGTCAAAATCATAACAGGGGACAAAATCCTATTTGACTAGATACTGAGTTCATTTTCCATGTTCCTCTGCTTGAGGGCCTCCACGGGAGAAAATTGTGGTTGGTACTTGTCCTTGTTTTCCTTTTTCTCGACTTGACCCATTTCATTTGGTGACACTATTCTTTTTTTTTTTTCATAACAAGTGAACTACAACACTTTTATTTAAAAAGTAAAAATGAGGCGGCCTTTATATAACCCGCAAACACACCCTAAGACTATCCAATATGAGATAACCTTAGCCCATCATGACGTAGGCCCGAAAGCCTGCCCGATCTTAATTGGGCCTCAAGAGTTGCAACTAAGCCCACATGAGACACACCAAACACATATGTTGATGACACTACTTAAATGATCTCATTTTGTACCACCATATTCTATTCAAGGATTGAAGTAAATCAAATTGTTTGAGGAATATAAAGAACTGAAATTTAAAAATTATTATTATTCTAAGTTTGTCATTTGTTTTAACCATCTTATCGTAGCAACCTTATTGCCACAACCACCATCACAATGATGGTGACGGCGGCGACATAATGGTAGTGGTGGCACAATTAATGGTGATGGCGATGTGAGTGATTGTGGATAGTGGATATTGAAAAGTAAAGAATTTAAAATATATTAATGGTATATTTTTCAATTATAAAGAATTTATAAAATTCTCGGCTAATATTTTTTAGCATTAAGTGATAAGTAGGTGACTTGATACTTAAAATTTTAACATATTTTTTAAGAAGTGTTTAAAATATTAAGTGGTACGAGTTTTAAATTACCAAATTAATTTAATTTATTAAGTAATTAAAATATTCAGTTTTAAGTATTAAGTGATATTATCAAACATTCCCTAATACTCTCCAACATTCCCTAATACTCCCCAACATGTTAATTTATTTTTGAGTCATGCTTGTGCCGTATCTTCAGCTATA